GTGATCGGAATTGGTTACTTATTGTAAATGTTCACTAGCACCCGTAAAACTAGTGGTGGTATTACTATTTGAAGAATAATGAAGAAATTCTCGAGGAGGATACTTGGGGAGTAGACGTAAGCCCGGCATGCCGAACCACTATAAATCACTGTATTTGATTTTTTTTATTTATCTCTTTTACTTTTATATTTATTATTATTACTCTATTATTTTATTTGTTGAAATTCAAATATTTTGATTATTATTTTTAATATTGTAAAATTATTTTTAATAATCCAATTCACCCCCTCCTGGGTTGCCTACCTAGGATAATATTTTTTTAAATTTAACTAACCTCCCTTAAAGTTTAGAGAAATTACAAGTAATCTACAATTTTAACATAATTATATTGACACCCTTTTTGGTGGGCAGGTTTTAATTCAAAAGGGAGGTGCAACCAATGTGGAAAGTTGTTCCCTTAGCTGTTATGTGGTCAGTTTGGAAGGCTAGGAATGAGTGCCATTTTCATGATAAGTGTGTTGATGGGCTTGAATTAGCTGAGTTGGTGAAAATAAAGGGTAGCATTATGGAGCAAGCAAAGTTTTACATGTTTGCAGTATTCAATGGAGGACATTGTCAATAATCTTGATAGGATTAAAGCTTGATTGAAGTGGTGGTGGATGGCATTCTGCTGGTTTTGGTTTTTGTTTTATTCAATGCTGATATGGTGGAGGTGTTGCTGGTTTCTAAGTTATTGATTGCTGCTGCTTTTGCCATTTGGTTCTGCTATTTTATGCAATTTTGCTGTTGTTTGTGATCAACTCTGGGTTGAAGAGTAGGCTTTGCCACTGCTGCTGTTAGCTGGGTGGAGTTTATAGGTTGATAGGGGTGATTTGTCACTTGGATTGTTCCTATAGGTTGCATGTGTTGGGGTTGTTTTTGTGTTTTCCTGTGTGTTCGCTCTGTATGTTGGTCACTCACCAACTTGGACCTTGGAGGTAGTGCAAGCAGATGATTTGGTGTGCATCTTGGTTCGGTAAACACCTATTTTTGGCGACTAAAAAAGGTTTAGTCGCCAATACCGTCCGCGACCACAGATACGCGACAAATGTGGTGACTAAAAAATTTTGTCGGGAAAAGTCAAAAACTGACTTTCGGCGACTAAAAACAGACTTTTGGCGACTAAAAATTTAGTCGCCAAAAGTGATTTTTTTTGTAGTGTAGGTTGATAGGGGTGATTTGTTACTTGGATTGTTCCTATAGGTTGCATGTGTTGGGGTTGTTTTTGTGTTTTCCTGTGTGTTCGCTCTGTATGTTGGTCACTCACCAACTTGGACCTTGGAGATAGTGCAAGCAGATGATTTGGTGTGCATCTTGGTACCAACCTGATTGGGATCTTGGTGTGTCACTGTGATGCTTTTTGCACTATCCTCTTTATTGATGTACTTTTCCATAGCTTTTATGTTTTTCCATCAATAAAGCTTATTTTTGCTGATCAAAAAAGGTTAAAGAAATCAACATTAATGAAAGAGTATTGTTCTTCAGACCCAAAAGTTAGACCCAATTTTTAGACCTAGTGATTTATCAAAAAGATGATTGGTTATCTCTAATTATTAACAAATCATCTTCTTGACACATCACTAGGTTTAAAAAATGAGTTAAAAAGTGAGTATAAAAATACAAAAATAAGTAAGAAAAAAAATATATATTTCAATATACGAGAGATGACAATATTATTTTTCTATCGATATTACTGACAAGTTGTGATGAAAATGAGGCTAAATGCTATGTGAATGAAAACTTTAGGAAAATCTATTATAATTATGCTAAAACTATAGGGTGCATGTGTTGTATTGTTTTCAAATCTCAAGAGACGTTAGTGTAGTTTACCCTTTTTTATCGGCAAAAAACATAAATATTATTAATAATAGAAAACAGATGTACAAATAGTATAAAGAGAGAAGTTATGGGGAAACAACTGAATTAGATTGGCACATGAAGAATACTCTCTTCATCTTAAAATATTAGTCCCTTATTTTATTTTTTATTGTCCTAAAATATTAATCCATTTTCAAAAGTCAAGTACAAAAATAATATGAATTTTCTATTTAGCCCTATTTTAAATTCATTAACAATATAAAAAGTATAATTATGACATTGATATTTCTAAAAAAATGTACTATTAAAGGGTATTTTTGAAAATTATTTTTTTTAAAATGTAATAATTGCACTACTAAAAAAAATTAAATTTTCAAAAATGAACTATTATTTTGGCACCGAAGGAGTAGTTAATCATGTGCGTCTACCATAACAAGCAATCAGGAACAAAGAAAAAAGGACAGCTCTAAAGCACAAAACATGCCGCTGGTGCATGGCAATGTCTCATGTTCCATTTTACACAATCATATGAAAAAATGAGTGTTTTTGAACTTTATTATATCTATTTTTAAAACAAAAACAAAAACAAAAACAAAAAATGAAAACAAATTAAGTACAAGAAAACACAACCAAACATGATTTTTTTTTTACTTATATTTTTTCTTCACTTAACAATGAGGTTGATTAATCCAACACATGACAATTTTAGTAGTTAAAATTTGAATTCTAGGCAGGGCCTCTTGCAATGAATAATATATACAGATGGCATTTGGCACAAGAAGTTTGATATTAATCTTGCTTTGCTCATATTATTAAAGCACTACTCTTGTTTATCATCTTCCTTTCTTTTTTTATTTTAATTTTTTTTCTTTTTCTTCCCTAACTTTAATTTGCTCATATTATTAAGGCACTCTTGCTAATCATCTTCCTTTCTTTTTGTTTTTTCTTCCCTATCTTTAATTTGTTATTGAGTGGTTAGTTTTTTTTGTATGATCTCAATCCCACCATAAGCATTATAATTTCATGTGCGACATTTTTTTCTTCTCCTTTTTGGCATATAAAAGAGTGAAGTTTAAAGGGCGAGGGTATTTCAGTCATTTGACGAGGACCTGTCATTCAAAATTAACACAGTAGGTGAAGAAAAGCAAAAATAATAATGGCATTCCTTTACTCATTGTACAAACCTTTTACTGTTTTCATATCAACGGAAGTGGTTATTTGGTGATTTTGGAACAATATTTTAGGCCATTCACATTGTATTATTTGGATTTTTGTTTTAGAATTTCAACACAAAAGTAGTAGATTTTACTGTTTCAATCAATAAAAATTTAATTAAGATACTATATGAATTTGTTTGACCATAATATAATTTGTTTGACCATAAAATGTAAAGAAAATTGTAATTTTTTTTTCTTATTTATTTCTCGTGAGAAGTTATTTTTTTTATCAGCTAAAAATTAACTTTATTGATAAAGTTCTTTTTTTCATTTTTTTCTTTTTCTTTTTGTGAGAAGCCCTAAATCCAAGGAGTAAAGAAAAGAGGATCGCCTCCAATGCCCCCACACAGGGCTTGAGCTTTCAATCTCCACTAAGAATTGGAGAGCATAGCAAAAATAAAAATAAAAAAATTTAAAACAATAATGTTTATACAGAATTTTTAATCAAAAATAATATGATAATGATATTTTTTTAAATATAGGCCTTCCTTTTTCTTTTCTTTTTTAATAGCAAAAAGAAGAATTTTATTGATGAACAAAAAGATTACATCAATGAAAAGCAAGATCCCCAACATCACAATCAGCTAAATCATTTCAACTAAGTTGGTACCGAAAAGCCAACACGATCATATGTTATCTCTATGCCAGAGTTGACAATGGGCCAACTCAAAATATAATCCTTCTTGATGAGTATTTTATTGAAAAAAATGACAATCAAGACTTACATATCATTTTGTATTGATTTTATATACATTTTTTATATTTCTATTTGTATATCACTAATAAAAAAAATTATATATTTATTCTTAAAATTTACAAATTAAAAATTTTGAAAATGGCAATAATGCAGTTTTGTTACCTTGCCTTGTATTGATTCTTTTCATTCTACATCAATAAATTCTTTTTTCACTGATAAATAAATAAATAAAATGAAAAAAAGTTATGTGATTTACAATATTAATATAAACCACACATTTACAATTTTAAATTATATATATATTGTCCACATAACATAACTGTTTCTATTTGTTTGGTTTCAGTTTTCAGAATTCACTTTCTAAAAAATTTTACTTTTTCATTTTTCGTATTTTTTTGTTTTTACTAATTTTTTTAATATTTTAAGCAATTTTTTAAATTTTTAGACACGCCTAACATAAATACACTTAAAAAGTATAATATTTGTGAAAAAAATCTTTAAAAAAGTTAACTAAATGAAAATTCAATACATTTTTTATATTTTAATTTTTTTAAATATGTTTCACAAATATTTTACTATTTAGATATATTTAAGTAAGGTGTATATAAAAAAGTAAAAAAAAAATTGCTTAAAATTTTAAAAATATTCACTAAAAATACAAAAAAATATAAAAAAACTCAATTTTTAAAAAACTGAATTCAAAAAATTAAAATCAAACACATTTTATACCTTTGTTTCCATCTCTATTTATAAACTATTCCTGGAGTACTATGTGTTCATACTCCTAACTAATCATAATTTATTATGTCCTCTCATGTTTTTTAATCACTCAATACAATACCTCACCTACACATCTTCTCTACTAATCATAATATTATAAAATATCACATGTCTATATTTCCAAATTACTGAATAATTACCCCCCATTACTCTCTTTTGTCTTGTCTTGTTATAAAACATAACAAAAATATTTAAGAGCTCTAAAATAAGAGTTTTAAAACAAGAGCTCTAAAAGAGTCATAGGGTGTAGGTTCCACTCATTGACGTGATATTTTAATTTTTATTTTATGCTTTTCTCTCACATTATTAGAACTTAATTAAAATTTTAAAATTAGAGAATATATCATTGCTCAAAACATAAACACCGTGAAGAAAGAGAAGAACAAATAATTAATTAGAAAATAAAACTCAGTTTCCACCTATTTTAACATTTTCAGAAAACAAAGCTACAAAGGTCTACTACAAGAAGCATTACTGCCTCCCAAGCTTTCCTTGTACTGCTCAAACAAGGAAACTCCAAACATCAGAGAGAAGAGAATCCCCTCACTCTCCCATCCATCCATCAATCTCATCAATATCTCATCAACATCTCATCAACAAATAATATCCAAATTTCAACATCAAAACCTTCTTTTTGCTTCACTCATCAAAATCTTCTGCTCTGTGTCTAAGCACAAATATGGAAAACCTGTTATAATTCCTTCCCTTGTTTTTCTTTTCTTTTCTTGAAGTGTGTGGTGAGAGTTTCCATTAACATCTTAAAAAAAGGTTTATCAGCTGGTGAAAGTACTATGAGAAGCAAGGATGCATCCTCTTTCAATTGAAGCCTCTCTCTCTTTCTCTCTAGTCTTTTTCTCCTTTTAGGTATATAGCACACACAGTACACTGTCCTACTACTAATATTCAAAAGAAGTAAATGAAACCCTAGAAGAAGAAAAACAGCAGTTAATAGAGAAGAGAGAAAACACACCTCCATAACCTTCACTAACCCTAATCATCTACAAGATCCAACAAAATTAACCCCCCAAAAGAACCCAGATCACCAGTTCCATGGATTCAATCCCAGAAGTAGAGAGTTCCAACTCTGGCAACACCACCACCAACAACAACTCTGGTGGCACCTCTTCATCATCAGCTTCCACACCAAGCCGATACGAAAACCAGAAACGCCGAGACTGGAACACCTTCGGCCAATACCTGAAAAACCACCGCCCACCGCTCTCCCTCTCGCGGTGCAGCGGTGCTCATGTCCTCGAATTCCTCCGGTACCTCGACCAATTCGGCAAGACCAAGGTTCACACCCCAATATGTCCCTTCTACGGCCACCCTAACCCTCCGGCACCGTGTCCCTGCCCGCTTCGCCAAGCCTGGGGAAGCCTTGATGCTCTCATCGGACGCCTCAGAGCTGCCTTCGAAGAGAATGGAGGAAGGCCTGAAACAAACCCATTTGGGGCTCGAGCCGTGAGACTTTATCTTCGTGAGGTTCGTGATTTGCAGTCAAAGGCTAGAGGAATCAGCTACGAGAAGAAGAAGCGGAAGCGCCCGCCACCACCACAACAGTTGCCACCGCCGGATGCAAGTTGAATGATGGAGACGATGCATTGCATTCACCAAGAAAGCTATCAAAAATGGATCTTGTCCAATTAATCCCCATGTTTGTGCTTAAAATCTCTCTCTTTGTTGGTTGGTACTTTCTTTGAAATGAAGGTTAGTTACTTTACTTATTACTTTCCTCAAGTTGTAGCAACAATAAACTGTTGTTTGGTTTCTGTGTGTACTCAACTGTTGTTTGCTATCAGAGAACCAATTAATGGTTAGATCTGGAGGAGAGACACCTTTGTTTCTGCTTTTGATGCAAACAGTATTAGTAGCATCAGTAGTAGTTAAGAGAGACTAGAGTGATAGTTGATGTACTATAAGTCTGTAAGAGTAAATTAATGTAATTTCAGTCATGAGATTTATGTGGATGATACTGAGCAATCTCTTATTTGCAGATCATGTAATTTTATGTTCTGAAAACCTCTCAAATATGTTTTAAGCATATCTGTCAGTTGTATCTCTCTAGCATTATATTTGCCTACTGGTAATTTAAATTGTGGTTTGCGGTCAAATTTTCATCTGTAAATCTTATATCTCTGACTTTTCTATTTCCCCTTTGTTTTCCACTATCACAACTTCACTGTTTGGAATCAATATATCATCCACTTTGTAAAGAAAATAATCATCAAAAAATAAATAAAAATTAGTTTTAGTAGTGCTTCAAGGTCAATGATATTCAGATTATGTTAACATCAAGTACAATAAGGCATTAATCTTGAATTTTTGCTAATAAAATCTCAGAATTGCTTGTGTATGCGATCAATTAAATCAAGAAAAAATATAAGAGAAATAAGAAATGAAAAAACTAAAAAGAATTTAATAAAATGCAAGTGAGAACTATGTATCGAGACACAACACATGCTTTGATTGCAACTTTTTCTTTTGTAATTAATTTCTTAATTTTCAATTTATTTGATATTGTCCCATTAATTAATGTGAGTTTGATGTGAGTGCTGTCATTTCATTTGATAGGAAGAGGTCATGAAACTGGCAGACAATGTAATTTCCTTATTCACTCAAAGTCCATTAAAACTGCAAGTTGGATTTGTATTTGTAGTTTTTAAAAATATCGATCTCATTTACTTTTGGGAAGGTTATTTTCTTTGTCCTCCAATTGTCATATCAGTTGTGAAATGTTCCCCAAAGAGGGGAAACTATTGGGGGAAGTTACACCAAGATGAACCTTTCAATAGTGGAAGCAACTTAGGTTTTCAAGCAAAGACAAATATGGTTAGATCTACATTAACGGAAAAAGACAAAATCATGTCTGATTTTTTTCTTATTCCCATTATGAATGCTAGAAAATGAAACAATGAAAATAGGGGTGATTGGAGAAAAGATGTGTAATTATTTGGTTTGAAAGAGAAGCCTTTGAAGCTATGGTTGATGGAAAAAAGTGCTCTTTTCATGTGCATATGGTGTAGAAAGAAATAACAAATGGTATATAGGATGAATGCTTAGGAACTTTCTTTTCTTTTTCAGTGCTTTTTGTGGGGTATGAAAGTTTCCACTTTCATATCATAATAAAGGATCTATTCTCACTACTAATCATTTATGTTTATGATCAATGATCAAAGCATTTTCTTCTGATGTCATGAAACATATCATGCATTATAGATAATAGGCAGATGCTGCTATTGAAATTTAGGATTAATTACATTTTTAGTCACTAAAGTATATACTTTCATTTTAGTCCCGATTAATATAATCGTGGATAACACATCTGTGAGGATATAAATACCTGCATTATAGTTGCTCTATATTTTATGACAAAACTAAAAATGTGGCTCAGCAATTATTGAAGTTTATTGTTGTACCAACTGTGTTTTGCTTTGTATAGATAGATATTAAGGCTAATTTAGGTTGTGATTTGCAAAATCCTGACTATTATAAATTTATTGTGGCTGATCATGTAGAAACACTGGTTTAATTTATTTTTGAAAGCTCTGATAACATAATGAGTATGCAACTATTGATTCTCCATTGAACATTATTGGACTGTGAAATTTGTCATGACATGATGCATCAAGGTAGGAAACCTTTTTGTTGTTAACAGAAAAGAGATTTCTTTTATTGCTTTCTGTTTCCCCTTTTGAGGTTCTCTTAAGTAAAACTTGTAAATTTTTTGTAGTTTATATTACTCTTTACAAAAAATAAAAAAATAAAAAAAATGTAAGTGCATAATTTTTTTAAGTCAGCTGAATGTCTATTTTGATTGTTTTACAAAATTGCCTATTACATTATATCTCTTTGTCCATAGAAGCTCTAGTAATTTCTGTTGTTATATGTTTCTTTTTTGTATAATTGGTTGTCCAAGCCATTTTGCTTGTATTTTGACTAATTCTAGAATCCTGAAAGTGTATTTTGACTAATTTTAAAATCCTGAAAGTAATGACTAGAAAAACCTTCATGGTCCCTTGGAATGACCCAAACTCAAGACTTTATATATTATTGTCAAAGACAACCCTAAGGTAAATCAATAGTATAAGTTTTTTTTTTTTTTTTTTTTGAATTTTTTTTGAACTATCAACAGTATATGTCATTTTCTTTTCTTCTATTTTTACTGGTGATCTAGCACCACGTGTATTGTTGTTATATAAATTGATGTTCATTTACGTATATAAGGATCAATGCATTAACCAATTAGGTCTAATTTAATTAGTCACTATGACTCTCTTAAGGGCTTAATGCGAAAGAAAACGTCATGAGTTCAACTCTTATCATTGACTTCTCACTAGCTCCCCTTTCATTGGCTTCTTGCCAACTCCCCCTCCCTTTCCCTTCTATGTTGTTGGGTTTGCTCGTCATTGCTTTCTTTCAGGTGCGAACCCTAGTTGGGATGTGATTGCTATGCTTTGATTATTTTCCCCATCAGCATTTTATTGTTGTGTTTCTTTGGTGATATTGTTGTTGAATTAGTAGATAAGCACTTGATATTTTTCAAAAATAAGGAAGCCAACTCCCATTGATATAAATCTAACAATTCATAATTGATTTTTGCTGATAAAAAAAATGTATCAATGCATTATTTCCTTAACTTTGAAAATAAAAAATAAAAAAAAATAAAAAATTGTTGTTACTGCTCATTGAATTTTGCCAAGTTTCAAGAATGATATTTGCTGATCTTAAAACAATGACATCTTTTGGAAAGTGAGTTAAAAGTCACTTTTTAATTTTTAACTCATTTTAAATCACATCATCTCTTTTATTTTTTACACGTTTTTTTAAAAAAAATCAAAAATTATTTTTTAATCATTTTTTCAAAACACCCAAATCTTGTTCACTGTTTGAGTTGTTGTTTCCTAAAATTCAACACTATAAAATTGTGAATCTTAATGTTTAATCCAATAAAACGTAAAATTAAGAAATCACACGTTAATAAAAATTCTTTTGCTGATAAGCAAAAATAAAAAAAAAAGTTTCTTTTTGATGATAAAAAAAATAAAAACAAAAAAAGAAAATGAAAAAGCGAATAAAAAAAGTACATAATTTTTCCAACGATGCAAAGGCTTTGCAGATATATAGATAGGCTGCTGGTCATTTCATGATGTTGGCTTCCTAGCTACCGAATCTATTTGAATGACAGGAGATTGATTTTCCGGTCAATTTCACTTAGCCTTTGGCAAATCATTTTGACAATATAATCATAAAAGATAAAATAAAAAAAAAAAAAAAAAAAATATAAGGTGTCGTTTGAAAAGTGGGTTGACTTTTTTATATTTTTAATTATTTTAGTTTGGGTTAAAAAGCTTAGTTTGAGAAAGATTTTTTGATTTTTTTGAATTTTTTTGTGAGAGAAGAGTGTAATAATTATGAGTTAAATGTGATGTATTGTTTTTTGTGACTAAAATAGCCTATTTTGTCTTTTGTGGCTAAAATAGTAAAAAAAAAAAAATCCAAATAGCTCTTCCCAAACGGAGCCAAAATAAAAAAAAAATAAAAAAGTTACAAAATTACTAAATTGACCCATATAAAAATAAAAAGTCAAAAAAGCATTATTTCTTAGTAGAGGGCAATTTTATCCTTCCAAAGCCAAAAAATCAAAAAAGCCAAATAAGAATACCAAATAACTAAAAAAGTCCCAGGCTAAAAAAATTAAAAAATCAACTAAAAAAACTAAAACCAAACGACTCCTGAATGTGGTACATTTTGCTTATATTATGTTCTTTTTCCGAAATCACTGCCTTAAATTAGTTGAGGGGAAATACCATTACAGTGTAATACTTAAAAAAAATATATAAATTAATAAATTTTTTTATATATTTTAATAATTAAAATGCTATGTATTGGTGAAAATACCAGAAAAAATTATATTTTATTGATAAAAAATTACAAAGAAAATGAGATACAAATAGATCAGGCTGAGGCATGGATATCTCATTTTCTTTAAAGAGATCAAGCCCACTGCGATAGGAAGAACCCAAATATCGATACAGCAGTCACAAAATTATGATTTGTCCCCTCCAAGATACAACAACCCGACCACTTGTCGTATGGTTTAGGCCAACTCTGCACAAGATGGTGAACTCAAAGCTCCACCAAGAAAAACACCATTCTTTGCTAGTAATCTCTCTTGTATGGAAAATAGTTGGTGTGCTGGTGTAGAAAAGAGTAGATGAGAGGAACTATTTATAGGCTACTAGGACTTTACAAAATATACCAAAAAATAATAATGACCATGAACCTAGAGAAAAGGGAGAGCGTATCCAAATATTAACTCACACCAAGTTCATGAATTCTAATTAATCTCCATTTATAAACAAGACAAATGGTCACCAAAGTAATGAATCTCCATTCATGAACAAGATAAGGTTCATGACCAAGACAAAAGAAGATTCATTAACAAAATATATAAATAAATAAATAAAAGATATAAAAATGGTCCAACAATCCCCCACTCATTTTAATATCTACAAGGATAAGAGAGATTACCAAACAAAGATAGACTAGTATCCATCATAAAGGTGTGCTCTGCATTGAACCTTCATTAGTGAAACAACAACCTCTCCTCCAGAGTCAGTAGTGGTCTTAGAGTTGAATTATAACTAGTTAGAGGAAATAAAGTATTACTACTCACACATAATAATCTAGGTGTTGATATGAGTTTTAATAGCCAGCACATTACGGCCTTGTGCTAATCCCAATTTTCATGAGCATATTTGAGAATAAGCCTTGTTCTCATAGAAAGCGGCCCCACTTTCATGCTCACATAGGTGAAATCTGTCAAGGATGTTCCTGTAATTGACACACCCCACTCAACAAGAGCTATAGAATTTCATTAAGAGTATAAAAACTCAACCCTCCAACATTACAAGACAAATGCACTTACATCATAGGGATAGATAACAAAATATTAAGGAGTGCATTTTTTACAACCACCATATGATTCGTTCTTCCCATTGAACCTAGTTACAAGATCTCTGGTCCCTAAGTTGGGTATCC